TCTGTGCGTACATTAAAAATATTTGAAATATTTACCTGTTTGGCTTAATAAACATTGTGGTATATCACGTTTGTATTTTAAGAAATATATATCAATATTGATGAAATAACGTTAATAGTATTATATGTTATATGTTATACATAAAAAGAGAAATCAGGTCCTGCGATTGTCGATTGATATATACCGCCACTTAGCTTCATCAAAGGAGCTCTGCATGTCTCCAACCAATCGTCGAGATTTGAATCCTGCAAATCGTTTCAAACACAAGTATTATAGCCACCTTGCGGTGACGTGTTCTTGACATTATAGCAGGGGCGGTTGGGTAGCCTAGTGGTTAAAGCGTTCGCTCGTCACGCCGAAGACCCGGGTTCGAGTCCCCACATGCATGGTACAATGTATGAAGCCCATTTCTGGTGTCCCCACCGTGATATTGCGGGAATATTGCTAAAAGTGGCGTAAAACTAAATTCACTCACTGAGATTATAGCAGGAAGGTCGTAGAAGACCACGGCAGTACTGTAAGGAGAAAATATGCCTGCTTTTACAAAGAGGGTGAGTGAGTATGGTTTTACGCCGCTTTTAGCAATATTCCAACAGTATCACGGCGCGGGACACCAGAAATGGGCCTCATACATTGTGCCCATGTGGGGATTCGAACCCGGTTCTTCGGCGTGACGAGCGGACGCTTTAACCACTAGGTTACCCCACCGCCCCTTTTTACAAAGAAAAGACAGTAAGAGGTTTACGATTAGATAACAGCTTGAAATATCACCAAAACAACAATTATACTGGCTACGAGCTGAAAACGCATTTATGCATTTTGAGCTAACTAAGCGGGTCATAATTAAGAAGAGTGAGTGATTATGGTTTAAGAACGTTGATAGTATGGTTTAACGCCGCTTTTAGCAATATTCCAGCAGTATCACGGCGCGGGACACCAGAAATAGGGCTTCACACATTGTACCCATGTGGGGAAACGAACCCGGGTCACAGCTTTAACCACTAGGCTACCCCACTGCCCCATAATTAGGAGGAATACTGAAGTTGTGCAATGCTGTATATAAAGTTGCTTTTACTAATATTGTAGTGCCACAGTCAAGAACCTTCCAGCTATGTCTCTAGCTTTATAAATAATAGAAAAATCCAGTGATTATTATTATGACATACAAGCACCCAAATCGTACTGATCCGAAAAACTTCCACCTCATATAGGTTACTGTGGACCTATTCTATACCAGCACTTTTGGAGTTCAGGGAGTATGGTTTTACGCCGCCTTCGGGAATATTCCACGGATGGCACGACGGGTGACACCGGGAATGTTCTTCAAACAGTGTACCCATGAGGAGAATCAAACCCGAGCCTCCATCCATAAGCCTACCCATCTGCCCCCAAATGTAACATACGTTGTAATTTCCACCACGTAACATATTTACTCCGTATCAAAAGTTGATAAAAAAAACTGGTCTATAGGCACAGTAGTATTCTAGTATATGAAATAAAGTACATATATGAAAAAATCGATACACAAAGTTAACGTAAATGCTATTCCATGCATACCACATACCGACTTCATATCAAATTTCGGATTATTACATTATTAATATGGTTGTCGTGTCGGCCATGTTTAAAATCAGGTCGGGGTTGCTTACGGGCACCATTGCTGGAATCATATACATGTACTCACAATTTCAACATTACAAACCAAGAAGGGTCAAAGACGCGGGGTCTGATGAAATGTTACATGCTTATAAAATAATAGCTTTGATATTACAGTTCTGTTAGAAAACCTTTACATGACAGTTAATTCATTCACGGTACATCAGCAAAGAACTGTTTTTTACATGATTAATTGTGACAATTATTCTTCAGTTTCTGTAATTCATCGCAAGCATGCTTTCTGTAACAAACGGACTGAATGCGTTTGCTTAAACTGGACATCTGTCTAGTGATTTATATAGAGGCGCGAGTCCATTAGCAGTCTAAATATGCTTAGTATATCACTATTTGGACCTTATTGTGAAAACTAGCAGGGTTGAAGGGGTAAAACTGAAAAATGCACCCATCATTCCATTCATGACCAAGCCGAGCCGTCTTCCAGGTTACGGAAAGGTATCAGTGGTGACGAATGCTCATACCGGGCAAGCCGCGTTCGTCCTTACTCGTCACTCTCCGTAATCTGAACGATGAGACGTTCCGTATCGATCGCGTAAGAAATTGGGTACCTGGATAAAAACACTCAAGAGTACTTAAATCAATTACGGCAGTCATATGAACGTATAAATTGCATATCGCCATTCAGACATAACAATGATAATAAAATTGTGTTGTATGAGTAGTAAGTTAATATAAATATGTCTATATATTGTCAGAGATTCAAATCCAAGTGCGTCCGCGCGTTTGATTCCATCCAGATAACGGTTCAACTAACTGTAAAATAAATTGTTTCCATTTGGTTTTATGTCTGATGATCTATTTAGCTTTCAAAACTCTCATTGTAATATCCGTTTTCAGTTTGATATAAATGCTAGGTAACTGAGACCACGAACATATACTGAGAGAAAAAAATAACGGATCACAGGAATATTCAAGTGTTCCTTTAACATTTCCCAGTTTTCATCACCAGCTTTGAATAGCGCTGTGGTGATGAAAACTTGAAAATAATAAAGGAACGCTTGAATTTTTCTGTGATCCTTTATTTGTTTCTCTCAATATAATTATTTATAACGTAACAGGGGCGTACACACACACACACACTTTTTTCAAGACGAAACCATATCTACCTTACCATAACTACAATTTCATTTTGATTTTCAATACTTTTCATAAATTAGCCCCCATGCTCTGAAAACCGTTCCTACGCCCCTGGTACTATCTAAGAGATTCTTGAGAGGCATTTTTACGTTGGTGAATATATAAGACGAGTGTATGGATGGCAACTTCTTCTTTATTGTATAACACGCCGTTTCTGGGCTACTTCTTGCCCCTTCTCCAGGTGATTGAGTAATATCTTATATTGGGCTTACGTTTCATTCAAATGACATTGTTTGAATAGTAGCCTGAGCTTGCTCTTGCCATTCATATTATATTCATGGTAGTCATATTAAACTTTTGCAACGTGTGTCAGTGTGTGCCTGCGCGCTACTGGCAATAACATCAGCGGGCTCTGTATACGTCAGTCAGTCTTGGCCCATCATATTCTAATCAACTACAAACTATATGTATTTTGAAAGGATAAAAGCAGATATGGCACCTGCACTTCAAGCTGCCTCCAAATCGTGATTGCTGTTGATCACTGGATTGTCCGGTCCAGACTTGGTTATTTACAGACCGCCACCATATAGCTGGAATATTGGTGAGTGCGGCGTAAAACAACAAACCAACCAACCAAATCATGATAATGTAACATTGGAGAGTCGGTAGCCCAGTGGTCACAGCTTCACTTGTCAAGTCGAAGACCCAGGATCGATCCTCACATGGGTACCGTTTGTCCAGGACATTTTAGGTAAGGAATGGCTGATGGAATAGTGACATTAGTGGTAAACCAGTACTCCCTCTCTCTCACCCATTGGTGTTTAGCAGATAAATAACCGAAATGTTTGAAACAGAAATTTATCAGGTTTTAAAAGGATAGAGTAAGCAACCACTTCAAAAATTGGGTATCGGATACAAATCCTAATTCCTAACGTTTATGGATGTGGTGGGCGAGAGGAACATGAACTGTGAACTTTTAAATACTTATTTGTTACTCCTTGTCAGGGCATTTCTGTTCGTTATATAACAAACGGAATATGACAAAAGTGTGTGTCATTCAGTACAGTATCAGTTTTGGATAACACAAGGATGTCTACGATGTCAGAATTATATTTTGGTGTGTTGGTATGTCTAAACATTTAAGGAATTAAGTTTCGTTCAGAAGTTAATTGTTCAATGTAGGATAACTACAATGGACTTATTAAATGGTCCCTAAATGTGTAGGTTGCAGTCAACTGTATAGAATGAAGTTTCCTGATAAAAATATTTGGGGTAGGTTCCAGACAACTTTTTGTCCAAGAGTGAATGGACAAGCTCTTTTTTGTCACTGAATCCTGGTGGCCTGGCCTCTAGTCTGTGTTGTTCAGGTACGATTATTTACAGGTTGTCGTGACATAGATGAATGATGCCACATGTGGCAGTAATCAACAGAGCAACACGTGCTGAACATATAAAATGTCGACCTATTTTCCTAATGAAATCCTTTCCTCGAAACCCAAGAACTTTTAGGAATATTCAGGTGACATAATTTGTACAGAATGAACTTTTCCCCAACCAGGCATATACCTCCCTGTCAGACCGTCTCCTGCGATAAGTGCCCCAAGCTCCATCTGCAACAAGTGCCTCCGGCTCCGTCATCTGCCACATTGCCGTGCCCGTTATGCCTCAATGGGTTTACAGCTATGTGGACTTCAGCCCCCGGTTGTAAGCCTTAGCTGGAGGGAATGCCCTCTAAACCAAGACAACTTAACCAAGTCACGACAAAGACTTGAGTAACCAGGTCCACCAGAAGTGACTTTTACACATCTCACGATTATAAGTATCTACAATATATAATCAATGACTACCTCTGAAGGAGATTCAGGAATGTTCATGAATTTAACCCTCTTGATTAGTTTGTCATCTTGTAACAGTTTGTCAACCTTTCATCAGTTACTGATGTTGGTAAACTAGATCATACTTCTAGTCCATACAAGAGTGTCACTGCAAAGTTGTGATCCAAATGTTACCAGGTAGTCAAGTGGAGCAGGCTTCTTGTCATAGCTTTCAACTCTTACAGCCACAATATACCCCTCTGCTAAAGATTTATAACGGCCACACATCTAGGTCTTTCAAATCACAAACACCGACATAACAGTCTGCACATTGGCTTAAGTCTTTCACATGCATTAATTTCATTGTCAGGAAGGAACAAACCACATCAGTACCAGGCAATACCTTTGAAACTATGCAAAACAAAAACAAAAAGATTCTCACTATCATCTGTTTATTTGAAAAAAAATACATGAACATTCACACAGAACACAAGTTCATACCAGCCTCAATAAAAGGCCCTCTTGTATTCTATTGAACTATACCAGCTCATTCCATACCAGATGATCACAGGATAAAATCAATTACAGTAAGCAATTAAAATTAAACCTTGCTGAAAAGATTTCAAATTTACTTGAAATACAGGCTAAAAATCTGAATACATACCCCTACGTAAGCTCAGGAATATCTATATACAATATTATGACCATATTTCATACGTTACAAAAGACTGATTGTCCTCCAAATCTTCAAATTGTCAAAATTGACCTGAAATTACCTGAAACTGTCGACTGGAGTCCATACTTGTGTACATTATTATTACTTGCCAGTCTTTTAATTTCAGGTCAAATTTGACCTCCCTAAAGCATGCACTGTGTGGTAGAGAATGAGCTGGTGGCTTCCCTACAACATGGTGAAGTAAATAACGTGATGAGGAGATCCCCAGAAGCTGGTGAGGAAAAAACATTCATTTTTTTCTGTTAAAACTGGCCGTCCAAATGCTACAATTAGTTTCAGGATAATGAGTTCTCCAGTGTCTACTCACACTATATATTTTGAAATTAACTTCCATACAAAACTGTCTATTTCAAATATATATATATTGCTACAAATGGCACTATTTTTCAAATGAAGAAGCGACTATATGTAACATTTAGGATAGCGAATAAATCTCCAACATGAAAATAAACTACATAAACTCTTTGAGAAAAGTAACAATATATTACAGAGGAACGGCCCTTAAAACCTGGTACAAAACAGCATTTCAAGTCCATTATAAGCATGTTCTAATGATAACATGCTAGGTCCGACACTATTCATTTCAAAGTGTATTAAATAACTGAAAAGTATAAACATCTTTCTTAGGAATAAATCGTAATATGGACCGTGGTGTACGAACAACATGAGCATTTTCACATACCTATACACTTATACACACCAAAATTAAATGCTTGGTACTTATTAGGAATCATACTGGTGGTTCTGTGAGAAGTCTGATTGTGACAAATGGTAAAATACATGTAAATTCTTTCAAATCACAGTGCAAAAACATCTTGGTTAAATGATAATATTCAAGCATTATCACATGTCTGGATTACAATCACTGTCGATACCCTAGCAAACGTTCTAACAATAGACAAATATTTACATGATATGAAGAAAATAAAATCTCATCCTTTCCATAATTCAACACACTGTGATAACGTAGTATTCAATGTTGCAGTATACAGTTTGTGCTGATGAACAGTTTGAGTATTAACTAAATGCTTTTTCATTTTAATGAGAGACCATTACGTCAAACAATTTATGGAACAGTATTTTCTTACATCTTGATTTACTTTTAACGTATCTAGAAAATCAAACAGAAATTCTCAAGAAAAAGGTCTTCGAATGCAACAAACCATTCATTACATTTGACAAATTTCGATTCATTATGACAGACTGAAGCCGTTTAACTGGTCGGTATTTCCTCTCGGGGAATGTGAAACATGTACAACACATCACATCCAGGCACTGCCTGTTTCATTCGCACAAACAATGGAAATTACAATGCAAGATATGCATTCACTGAATATTCAAAGTAACATAAAAACTTCATTTTCTAGCATACAATTCTCGGGTCACATGCAGCCTATTTTGTTTCTACACTGTTAACAAAATCCTCCAACCACCCATGAGGGCAACATCTTGCAACTGAAAATACAGCAACAGTTTAGAAACAATCTAGGATGATATCAAAATCATAATGGTGGATGGACTTAATTGCTCAAAAGAACGACAATTCTTTTAGGTGATTTTCTAAAGAATGAGTTCAATATAATGATTAAACAGTGTCATAAAAGTACTAAATATGTTTGATTCATCTATAAATGACACCAAAGGCAATTCTGAATAATGCCACTTTTCAGGACCAATCAGAATACGGTCTTCAATATTTTAAGGAGAAACTGACTCTGAAACATTTACATCTTTTACCAACATTGAAATTTGGAACAATTGTTTTCTTTTTGTAGCCCATACGCAGTTTCTGGTCTCTTGTCTAATACATAAATGGACCTTACACTTAACAAATCCAAATATCACTTGAAAATATTTCTGATGCCAATCTGAAGCCATTGTGAAACAAAGTGCATAGAAAAAGACTTCTGTTCACATATTGAAGAGAGTTTGGTAATTCAGGAAGAAAGAAACCTGGTTAATTGTCTGTCACTCATAAATGCTTCATAGCAAAATGTGCGAGTCCAAGAGCAAGAAACAACATGGTCACAGATATGGTCGAAGTAACAGCGCTGTTGCAGCCATCCTCATTACAGTGACAGTACTGCACTTTGTAGCGATAGGTTCCGCTACGAGAGATACAGGTCAAGGGTGGGTTTTCCTCGTAGCCACATTGACGGATGATACGGGTATCATACTGTTCATCATAGTACACTGTCAACATCAAGAAAAGAACCATTACTTATTAATCAATGAAGAAAAGAAAAAAAATAATTACACAATTTGAAATACTAATGTTCTACAACAAAAACCAGATCAATCCACATTTTTACAGCTTAGGTTGGAGGATTCAACTTACCTTCTTGTTCAATTTTACGACATGCAGTTCCATTGGTACAAGTGGTTAAGGTGTCTGATTCCATTGTCAGCGCCCCGGCACAACTTTCCGACAAGAATGAATTGCATACATGGCATTGAAGACCCAGTCCTGAAACACAAATCCTAATCTGTACATGGCATATAATATGCAGAGTAAGATACGGTATATATCATTTTCATCATGATAAGACAAACTTGAGGCTCTGGCAGACATAGCAGTTTGAAGTTTTGCACCAAAGTAAAAAGAAACATAATTTACATTATATATATCTCATCATTGGGTCATCCATGCAAAAGTCACCTATATTCTATGTCAGTTCCAACTGAAACCCTTGACCACATAATTCAAAATTGAAAGACACACTTAATTTTATGTTGGGGGAGAAATAATTGTGAATTATCTACGAAGGACAGGATATTGAGTATCCCTACAAAATCAAACAGTATCTGATACTGTTAAATTTCACCGTTACTCAGAGGGATACTAGATTAAAATACTGTACTTTAGGAGACCGTCTTAATCAAAAACTATTCTCTTTATAGGGTTTGGTAGATTACAGGGACCACATACCATGAACTTACTAATTAATAACCAATGTATGAGGAAAACATGGCAATACACTTCCATCACTGATGTAAATATGTCTAAATGTTACATGTATGTTTATGTATACTGAAAGAGTAGCTGCATACTGATTGTGAATGCACACCTGCAAAACTCTTTTTTAACATGGAATTAATTTATGCAGTTAATGTATCAAAATTACACAGAATGTTCAGTAAATGGGTAGAATCAATGTTAGCATTACATAAAAGTGTGGTGAAAAAAACACATTTAAAAAAGGGAAGCTTGTGTCAGGCAAATATCATCCCTACACTCACTAACATTTACCGTATCATGCTAATGCATATTCATTTATTTAATCTAAAAGGTTGTATTGGTTGTTAAGAATGTCAAGACAAGCGACAGAAGGAAGTAGGTCAGAGTAATAAAGACAGGGTGACCTCTAAATGTCCTGCAAGCTTCCCCCTCGCACATGGACAGTGGCTGCCTCACCTGAGTAAAGTGTCATGCCCTACATACTTCCCGACTCACTTATCCAGGGGCGCACATTAACCATTGTCAACTCTTCAGGGTTGAGCTGCTCTTCAAAAGTTTCAGTTTTGTTTTGCGTCAGTGCAGATCAAGATAGGCTTTTGTTTTGTCAAGGAGTGAACCCAAGAAGAGGATAGGCATTGGCAATAATATAACTGTGGTAACTCTGGATGTGATTTGTCCTGGCTATCATAATTTAACAAAGTTGGGACATTGGGCACACATGGGACTTTCATATATAGAGTCTATAGAACACCCTAAACCTAACTCCAGTGGGATTCTTAAATGTTAGAAATTAGACATTTGGTCCATGTTTCATCTAGTATTTTTCTAAACCTTCAAATAATACTAGTAGTATGTTGAGTGTCGATTTCCATCTCTTATGGTTATAGTAATAATGTTCTTAAAACCAAAGACTGTTGTGACAGCTACTTGTTAAACAGACAGGGTAACTAATTGGAAGATAACCAGCAAACAACATAACTAAGACAGCACAGTCATGGTGATGTAATTCTGAACTTCTTTTCAGTTAACACATGAGACACTAAGAATTTTCCACTTTTGTGTTTGAGATGATAAAACTTCTACAACTGACAATGACTGCAACACACCAACATTATCAGTCAGGATTTGTTCAAGATAAATGTTTCAGAAATAATTTAACTTATAATAAAGGCTGACACAGTTCTGGGGCATAACTACAAACACCCTATGCAAGTTGAGTATATGGTTTGTTTTACAAATGCGGAAATTTGGGAGGGCAGCATTGGCGACTGAGTATGCATTAGTTTTCCGTCAGGTTTAAATCATGCATGATAGTTCTTTTATTAAAAAGTTTTAAGCTGAAATTACTTCTCTGATTCCTTAAAAACAGCAGTATTTTTGCATTAAAAGCAAGTTTTTATATCCAGATAAATACTAAGCTGAAATTACTTCTCTGATTCCTTAAAAACAGCAGTATTTTTGCATTAAAAGCAAGTTTTTATATCCAGATAAATACTACAGCCGTCGATACTTTGAATGTCAGACGTTAAAACAACCGTTCTCTTTGAAAGCCGGCTACAATTTCAGAAAACATACAACCGTAAACTACTTTTTCTACATCCACATGAGCGAGTGAACACATATAAAAAACACAACCTTTTCCTCATCTTGGACCACCAACTTTTTATAGACAAGAGTCCACGTTTGCATAAATAATATGGAATACAATAATAACCTACATACAGGGCTACCTGATTGTAATTCAACAGTGTTCAATGGAGCCGGGTTTATTTCATTCAGGACCGGTCGAGAAGCTGACATAGAAGGTGCATTTACGCTAACACAACAAACGAAACATCATAAAAAAACTTAACACACATAGTAACATTTAATTGATTAAGTCAGTGATTAAATTATTAAACGATCGCCAACAAATATTGAAGAACCATTGCCGGGAAAAGAGATTCAAGAATGAAGAAGCCATTTTGGAATGGAATCGGCTTCACGAGGCGATTACTTGACGGGGTTATTTTGTCATATTTACCTTCCTCAATCAGGAACATCAACAGTAGTGTCACTGTCGGGAGAAATACAGATATTTTCATGGTTGCAGGCTGAATTAAGATCCTCGAATGAGCACACGGACAAAATACGGCACTTGCTCCGAACCGCAAACCTACTCCAATGCCCTGTCTGTGACCTTGGGGAAATGGACGCGAAGGATAACGCCACCTATATTTTCAGGAGGAGACAACCCCTGTAGACTATATTCTATTTCAAGATAACATTGCATAACACCTGGGATTGCTCAGCCAATCCAAACATTAGGTTTGCTATTGTTGTAGAATATTGACACAGTTCTTTTCGAGAAGTTGAAATGTTACGTATCACCCATTCTATAGGCCTTACGCATTATTAAATGTCAGTGTCAAGGATATAGCAGAGGAAAAGCAAGAAAAATGCCATATTAAAACTGAACTGTACCTTATCAAAAATACATACTTGATCTGTGGATTCTAGTGGTCTCCAGTTGCTTTATAATTCTCCGTTAAAAAAGCCGACTTCAATAAAAAGAACTCGAGAAACCATCAAAGAAACCAACAACTTTTACTTTTTAATCAAAATGAAGTGTCTATTGGGTATCAGATGTTCACGATGAGCTCGAACACCCTTTAAATCTGTAAATGCAAACCTTAACTAAACAGATCCGTAAGTTGTTTTAGTTTTGTGGGGCTCTTTTAAAATAATTTTGTATTAATACATTGGTTTTATAGTTGTCATTTGATATATAACTAGATCGGTAAACTTGGTGTTAACGAAGGATCATGAATGCCTTCCATTTTCTCAAGGGGATTTATTTGCAAGGATACAATGTTGTCCTTATGTTTACTAGGATTTCTTCAACATTAAATGACACTGCTCTTGATATTTTGCTTAGCTACAAATTCCATTTCAAATGTCGTTTTTATCACATCTCTCGATTCATCATAATTCGCTGTATTGAAATTTTGAAGATGTATTGTTGACCGAGAAATTCAGTCCTTTAATGAAGTATAAAACATGACAGTAGACGGAGGCACGTATACATGAAATACCTACATGCACCAAATATAAGGGTGGAAAGCGTAAATAAGAAACTAACGAAAGATGATTTCTGTCACACCATACATTATTAAATTTCAGTCATAATTATTTAATGATAATCATGTTTAGAATAATATTAACAACACTGTTCTTCAGTAAGTTGGGTTGTGTCGTTTTATAGTTAATAACACACCGTAACACCCACCAACTCAACACAACCGACATTGGATAAGAAAATAGACAAAGTAACAAAATATGCTGTTGGCTCTAGATATGAGTAATTATCTTGACCCATGATAAAACAACGTGTTGCATTTGAAACATATATTATCCTACATATGAACTATGGGGTGTGTATTTTGGTATTTGTTGTGTTTTAAAAATGTGGTTTGATTTGTTTTTATATAGGTACAAGTTGGTTATGTGAGATTATATGCTACCTAGCAGGCCAGCTGTGATTAGAAATAAGCCTAAAGCTTTGAAGGTTTGGGTGTTATTAAGTGCGTTAAGGAGTGTTTGTAGTGTCCTAAGTTAGGTGTGAACTCTGGAGCACCATTTTGGGTTGTTGGTAGTGTGCGCGGTTTATAGGGACATATTCGGGCGTTTCTGTTTCTTTGCAGTTTGTGCATTTGCCCGTTTGGTATTGTTAAAATTTTATTTAGATGGGAATATATTTTATGTGCTGTTTGTAATTTGGTTATGGCCCTGTCGATATCTATAGATTTATGGTAGATGTTTAGTGTTTTGAGTGGTGTGACTATAATGTGCATTTATGTAATGAATGTAAAAAGGATTTGAATTGAGCGATTCCAACTTTCGGTTCGACCACAATAAAACACATTCTAGGCCCTCTCCCTTTCGATTTTAATCCAAAAAAGATTATATCAACAAATTATCGCAAGATAATCGTCATTGACACACATGTGCAGTATTGATGTAAAATCGAATTTAGAAATAATATGATTTTATACACTTATGTTAATAGTCTCTAGACTTGTCTCGTGAGTATTCTGAATCAGTGCTAACTGATGATATGGGATATCACCGTGTATGTATCTTATCCCATCCCTCTCTCCATGCACACTTCAAAAGCTACGGCCCGGTGCTCGTCTAGTACAAACGTATGCGCATGACGTCAGCGATGGACACATATATCCGAAACAAACTATAACACGTCACTCCTTAGCAGCTCTCACTGAACTTGCGCAATATCTTGAGAAATAGCCGGGATCGATTGCCCTGTGCTTGCTGTTCCGTTGCTCTTCTACTAGTGTTAGTTTCCTAATACACGTATTTGACAATCACGTACAGTTAGTTTCACAAGAGTGTTGGCAGAACTAATCCCACAGCGCAAGCGGAAAATTCCACCTTGACTCTCTGAATGTCAGTGAGCGGATTATTGCACTTGCAGCTCGCACAAGAGTGCAAGATGTTAATGTCGGCGCTATTGATGACGTCATGCAGGTTCCATACATTTTAATTCAATCAAAATCATTCTCAGCATGGAAGAAATATGCACAGAATAAACAAAAGATGATTTGAGGTTAATTAAACATAAGTACGTGTTTGAGAGTGTGGATGAACATTATTGATTCTCAAGGAAGGTTAGGTATTAAAGGGTTTACATCAGACGCAGCTTGGTTCCTCACTAAATCAATCAATTTGGCTGTTTTTAGTTACAGAAGGTTGTGCTTCATTTCCAAAGAACTGAAGCGTGTGGCGGGTAAGAATATTTAGTGGAGGTGTGCAAGGTTTTAAAGCTTCGTAATGTTTTCGAATCAGGTAATTCTACTTTCTCATAGCAAAAAGCTGAACAGCACCATCCCTTTTTTCACGTTTTCTTTCAGTGTTCCTTAGTTAAGTTTTCAAATTTGGTTGTGTTTCATTATTTTCACTTTTGTTGTTATTTACCACTTCTACTGTATTATGTTCCGTGACAATGAAAGACAAACACAACTTGTCGGACAGGTTGCGCTGCCATGATAAGCTCCACCTGAGGGATATTATGAAACATTTCGCAATTTAACCATTCAATATTACATAAGCTGTGTGACTGGTGTTTATGGGGGTAGGTTTAGATAAAGACTCAACCTAAATACAATACATCAATTGTTATCGAGGTCTTTTACATACTCGGCGCTATGCTGAAAGCGAGTCGACCTGGTCATACAAATTGTTAATGGATATTGCGCAGCGTGACGTAATGTGTCACCTTTGTCAAGTCCGATATATTCGTGCAGAGGTGACATGGTGAGGCTCCAGATCGGTGGGGTTGAGTATTGCATCTGTGGAATGTAATTGAATACTTTGGTAATCATGTTTGCACACTGCCTGATATGGACAGATGTGTCTATATATTGTCATTGACACATGCCTAGTGTTTCAAGAAACAGTAATACTATCTGCACACATACGCAGTTTATTAAACATATTCAAGAATTCGGGAAATATTCAGACTTGCAGGAATTAACATTGTACATAGATGCTGGTGCAATTTTATGAAACCCTTGTAAAATGCTAGATTGACCATGTGTAAACAGGCACCAGTTCAGTGACCTCCACTGAAGCTTATAGGCGAACCATGCTTGTCTTTACAGGTGGTTGTCAGGACAGGTAATTTGGCTCATTTGTGTAATGTGTCACGCTCTGACGGCGTGGATAGTTGCCCAGAATATGTTTCCAAAGTTTCAGTTATTTACATCCCGACCTGCATCATTGATGACTGGTGTAGAGCAATAAATAAACATAGATAGCCTCGTAGCGTATCTCTTCAACAGCCAGTACTGCTCACGATCACCTGTCTCCCCAGCGAGATCAACGTTGGGACCCCCACCCCTCGTGGCCCCCGCTAACCTTGTCTCCCCTGAGGACACGACTGAGAACAAAGTGAAGGAAAGACCGCTTGTCACTGGAGAGGAAATGACATTATTATATGTGGCTACACTTACCTGCCCTCTTACGTGGTGCTTACCTGTCAGGGAAATATACAGGTACGCCGCTTATCGACCGAGCCTAAGGCAGGGGCCACTCTAGATTCACTGTTACTTATTGTTTGACCTTTAGGAAGGTTGATGTATATTTTGATCTGTATTCTACACGGTGATCTTTAAAGATATATGTGTTTTGATTTGTATCTGATATATGTGTTTTATGAATTATGCCCTTGACTTCAAGATTAAACCCGACCGCGTCATAAAAAGACGTTACGATTTGTATCTCGTCATATTATACATGCTCACTGCGGCATTCTCAGTGAGCTTAAAAACCAGCTTCAGTGTGTACAAGCAGCCGCACATACACACATATATATGCCTCTTAAACCCAATTTCTCACCTCAAGATTAAAGACGCCGCCATATAGCTTGAATATTGCTGAGTGTGGCATAAAACTAAACTCACTCACTCAAGATTAAAGATAAACCTGGCAAAAGAATTTCAAAGTGGTGGAATCAAAATGAACACCCGTCACATTATAGCAGGACCACTTTCACGAGCGACCTTACCGCTCATGGGCGGATCCAGGAATTTTGAGAGGGGGTAGGGACGGGGGGTGTCGAACCCCCTGACACCCCCCTTGGCTTCGCCAACGCAAAGAAAAATCTGCAATGTGGTCTTAAGTCATTTTCAAAAGGGGGGTTCGAACCCCCTGACACACAACCCCCCACCCACCCCATGCCGCTACGACAATTGTAACCAGGTTTACGATCGTCGTTATGCTCAGATTGCTTTGTGCAAGTGGATTCTTGGCAGTATATAAAATCTCATCTTTCTATCTAGGAAACATTTTCCAGTCATGAAAAGGGTAGGTAAATATAGCAATATATCAATATTAAATTAATGTGATAGAGTCTCTACAAAGACCTAACATAGGAAATAACACTGAAATCATTACTTAGAAGGTTTACCTAGTCTGCTAGTTCATAAATTATGACCAAAGAGGAAATATATCGAACCTTTAAAGTTTCGGCACCATTTAATGTAGGGCTGGCCTAAATGATCTATTATCGGAAATAGGAAACATTATTAATGATTATCGATATGAAAATTGTGTCGATAATAACGTACATTAAATTTTGCGATAAAAAAAGTTTTGATTTTCTCACACAATATACAACATTTGGAGTTTATTCATGGTCTGCTC